CAAAATTTGCATGCTGGATTTTGAGCTTAAGCTTTGATTTGATTTGGATTTTTACCCCCCAAAATCTATCTTTTTTTTTTTTTTTTTAAATCTTTTTCTTTGGATCTTTCATCAAAGAATTTGACAATAAATGGAAACTTATGGATTCCTATAACATTTATAGTTAAAATTTTAAAGTTGTTGCTTTCTACTGTAAATGTTATTTTGGAGTGGAATTCTGATGTGTCACCACATACATTAGACAACCTGCACATCGTGAGGGATTTTTTTTTTTTTTCCGAGTTCGGATCTTTAAGCTGCTGGATTGAGAACCGAACCGAAATACCCTTCCCGGTGCCAGCCGGGCAGGGTGTTGGTGGGAGAGCTGTGGGGGAGGCTGCAGCTGCCGGGTGGCAGACGGTGCCTGCAATTCACTTTCCCTCTACCTGTTCTGAGAGTATCTGTTTGCCGGGACTCTGATGTCCCTTGCCTCGTGTGTTAGGATGCCCTGTTTGTCTTGCTTCCCTTCCAAGATGCTGAACTCGTATATGTTGAAAGAATCATGTGTTTTATTAGTAACAGAAGGATTAGGTATTGTGCATATGCCCTGCTTTGCATAAGGCCGCAGTGAGTAAGCCTCTGTGCTTAGGTTTCTTCATTCTCCTAAAAAAGAGTCTGATTCAATTAATAAAAAAAAAAAAAATTCCAATTACCCGTATATTGCTTTTTGTTTGCAAAACTGTTAGGTTGTATAAGGAGGTCTCTAGTTTGTGAATTGATTTGGAATAGTTTCTTTTATTTTTGAATACTGCGTGGTGACCTAGTTAATTGGGAGTAATTATTGTCTAAATATATTGGTTTAACATAACAAAAGGCTGTCTGGAAAAAAACGGGGAAGGGAAGGAATGGCTCAAGATAAACCATCTCTTTGCAAACGCTTAAGAGTTGTTAAGGGACATCTCCAGAGCTATTAGCAGAGAAGGTTTTTAACTTCACTATTGTAATTTAGCTCTCGAGGCTTGAAACAAAGCAGCAGAGCAAAAGAATTGATGTGAAAACGAACACTTTCTCTGGTTCTGCGGGTGGTATTTTGTGGGAAAAAGGCTTGACACAAAGAGCCACGGGATGCTCTTGGAGAGGAAGGAGTGGGGTACCCAGAGTCAGAATGGACTCGGTTGATAATATGGAGCTATAACCTGTAGTTGCTGCCTTCTCCCCTCTCTCTTCCATAATCTTGCTCTTAGGACTAAAATTGAGCACTGTGTTGATTTTAAGAAGGCTCACCTGATCGCTGGGGTGACTTCTGATTGCAGGAGATTGAGCCTAAATCCTGTCAGACCTGCTCTGTAAGCGTGGCAGAGCTACAAACTGCTGCAGTCCGGGACTGCTCTAAAAATGGAAAAATTGCTTAATTTAGGAAAGGTGAGGAGGCCCTGACACCTGAAGGGATATGTTCAGACAGACATGTATGGCCATCCCTGTAATTAGCAGAGACCAGTCATGTAAATCACCCTGGCTAGATTTGGCATGCTCATCTTCATTTCAAAGTTGTTTGGTTTATAATAATAATTTATCTCATATGGCAGAGAGCAAAGGGGTAGCGTGGTGCAGTTCACACCTAGGAGGAGTAAAATAAAGCAGGCATGGATGTATAAGCAGAAGCCTTTAGGTTATAACCCCATCCTCTCAGAGGTCTAACTCGTCGTTCCTGTGCCTGAACTATCTGCAGTTGGTGCTATGCAATTACAGCTGGGGCACGAGGGTAAAGACCTAAAAAAAAAAAAATTGTGTGTGTATATATATAAAAATATATATATATATATACATACAAATGTATATATACACACAATATATATATACACACAAATTTCAGGGCCTTGAGTGTGTTTGACCTTGAAGCTGTCTCTCTCGTTTAATGCTTGCATTTGCTTGTAAAGTCCGCTAATGTTGTGCCTATAGTGGAAAGCCAGAGCGGTAGGGTGTGCTACTTAGTCTCAAGAACTTGCAAATAATCAGGTTGCAAATAGTTTGCCTCCCCAAACGGCAATCATTTTCCCTGAGCAAAGTACTGCATTCAAACTGATACTTGGGGTTTTGGGGGGTAGGGAGGGAGGGGAGCACGGTCTCTTGGAAGGAGTGGAGACAAAGCTAGCAGTGCTACGTTGCTGGCTTCGCTGGCTGTGTAAGCAGAGAACGCAACTGAAATGTGTGTGCCGTGGGTATCTCTCGCAGCAGAGCGGTGCCGTGCGGCCTCTCAGCGGCTATCTCTTAAGGGTTGTCTGTGTCAAAGAACTTGAACTTAAGTCAGATTTGCTTTGTCATCCTGACTTTGGCTCTTGCCACTTTCAATTTCTCTTTAGTTTCTGGAAGCTTCTTTTTAATTCTCTAGTGGGAAGGCCAAGGTGCATCTGAATGTGTGAAAGGGCTCACCCCAAACAAAACCCGCTGCACGCTGATCAAAACAGTGGGAGCAGGAAGGTGGGTTTGTGCGTATCTCATCACAAAAGGGTGGCAAATCTGTTTTTCAGCATGTGTTCTTCTTTAGTTAGTTTTTAACTAAATGCTGCAGAGGACTGGAGTTGTTTCCCAATGGCAGGGCAAGCAATGAAATATGACACAGGGAGGGGAAGAGAGTTGGCAGGGGGCCTATGTGCACAAATAGCCCACTACCTTTTGAAGCGTATTTGCAGCCAAGCAAACAAAAAACAGTGCAGGCTGCCTTACAAAGAATTACAGTAGAAATCTTTCCCTTGGAACTTTTATTTTTTCCTCTCAATGTCAATAAAACGTCATTACTACTGATTCCAGAGTCATAACTCACAAGATGTTGTGGTATGTCTGAAAATGTTTTTATGTAGTAGTGGATTAGGAAGAGAAGGAGCTCTGTTGCTGTCTTTTGTAGCTCTTAGAATACCTTTTGCCTTGGATTGCTGTAATACAGGAAGAAATCGTAGTAAAAACTCTAGAGCATGGTGTTAGCTGGTTGAGCGAACAGGAGTCTCTTGGCACAGCCCGGTTGCGAGTTATGTAAATCTTGTGCAGTGTATAAGCAACAGGCGGTTGGTGACGTAAAACTGAGCATTTGTCTCTATTTATTGGCTAATGTGACATGCACCCTTCCTGTAGCATTTGACTGAGCTGGCTGTATTAAATATAGCCCTGACACTCCTAAGTAGAAAATGCCTCAAGCTGCATAATGGCTTCTGGTCTGAAATTCATTGTTCGGATCATGGAAGTCTTATGCGGTGGCTCTTTTGTCTCCCCTTCGTGTCAAAGTCCGTTCCGTGGTGATAGCGAAAGGTCTCGCTGTAAGCCCCGGTTTGCTGAATTTGCCAATCGATCGCCGTGGCCATGTTGTGCAGAACATTCCTCCAGTGCCTCCTAACGCCCTGGCTGTGCTCTGGGAGACTCAGCAAGATGTCAGTAACTCCTGCGGTGATTGTCTTCGGCCGTTCGTGATGGATTACCAAACTGATACATCTGTTGTTTAGGTCCTCTCCTGCTCGACCCATCGCGGGTGGCTCGCAGATCTGCCCAATGCTACTATTACCCCCTTTGACCCAAGCTCCAGTGCTATTAGCTGCTATGCTTTGGGTCCCCTATGTTTTCTGTGAGGAGAAAGCAGTGATAGTTGTCCCATGCAGTTCTGATTTTATCCAGAATGTCTGATTTTTTTTCTCCCTTGAACACTGTAGGAATTGAACAGGAGGCAGTTTCTTTGCTCACCGTTCCGAGCCTCTTTCCAGCTGGCAAGCAGTCCAAAAAGCCCTATGTTTGCTCTTTCTCAGGGTCATGCTGCAAATGTTTCTCTTGCTTTCACCTTGGCTTTCTGGCTTTGGTTTAGGCACATGACACTCTACTACACAATACAAACCCTTAATAAATATATCACTGTACCCGCATAGTGCAGCTTCTGACTAGCCTTCTGCACGGCTTTGTTTTAGGTGGTGGTTCCCAGTTCTTGAAGGTTTGTTTTTTTTTTTTTTCTATCCTGCTCAGAAAAGCAACAGAGATTTTTGTAATCATGAGTAAAAAGCAGTTATTATGCCCATTGTTTCTGGCAAGATGTTACTCATCTCCGTTCTCACAGCACCTACTCACAACATGTAAATCAAGGCCACAACCTCACAGACACACGTAAACAGAGGAATTACATGACTTGCCAAACACTTACATAATAACTTAATAGTATATCGTGGAACGGCAGCTAAGACTCATTAATCCTCTTCCTGTTTGACTGCTTCTCTTTTCAAATTATTTATCATATGAGTTTCAGCTACACCATGACTCGGGAATCAATAGCATTTGTGGCTTTCTGAGTGTCCTTAATATATCACAGACTTCCACTGTCATTTGTCTTTATTCAGTAAGAACTTTTGATGGTTTATAAGTTCCCTTGATCTGTGACTATCCAGAGCTGAGCAGGCACTTTAATAAATAGTCTTTGAGTACTCGTGGCTCATACATGACCGTATGTTTCAAAAGCAGCAGGGCTTGAGGAGTTACCCGTAGCTTCTGATGCCCTTTGGCCCTGAGAGTTATCATAAGAGCGTTCTTTGTGTTTTGTTCATCTTGTGCTCCTTTGGACCTTTTGTGCCAAAATAAAACGGAGAGGTTCAGTCCTTTTGAAGCTTGGGAAACAAGACTGGCATAAAGAAACCGCCCTGTTGTTTACATGCTGCTGTGTAGCACTTCCCTCAGTATCTCTTGAACTTTTTGGCAAATTTCATAAGGAGCTAGTGGGATAGAGGTCTCTAAGATTTCCAGTGAAAATAAGAAGCAGAGTAGAAAAGTGGTCTAAAATAGTGTCCCTGGCAAGTAAAATGCTGTATTTTGAGCTCTGTTATCTTGGAGAATCCATGTGTGATAGAGATAAAAGCTTTAAAAAAAAATGTGAGCAGCAGAGCTAATATAGTCTGGATAATATTTTTGCTTAACTGTTTAGGATGATATAGGTAAACCTGTGAAAAGGACCTGAGCCACCCGTACTTTAGGTTGTAATCTGCTTTTTTGCTTTCTAGGAATCTACAAGCCGCCATTGGAGCCTACTATGATTTCGAGAGTCCAAATATCAATGTACCCTCCATGTCCTTTGTTGAAGATGTCACCATAGGTGAAGGAGAGTCCATCCCTCCTGATACCCAGTTTACAAAAACATGGAGGATACAAAACACAGGTAAGGCTTTTAGACTGTAGCAAAACCTACGTAGTGTGTATTATGTGACAGGATAGCAGATCTAATGGAAGAGATGCTGGCTTAAGGCAGTAGGTTTGTGTGCACCTAACTGGGAGTAGAGCCACCCTATTACTGAAGGAGGTAGCCTGCCAACCTGTGCGTATTCCCTTTCTTATGTCGGCACAAACATTTTGTGGCGAGATGTGCAGCTCGGTCAGTTCCCCAGTCTTGTTCCTTGTACCACCACACAAACAAAAGCTCTAGGAAACTTCTGTAGGAAGAGGCAGGTACAAGAAATTGAAGGGCAAGGTTTTGGGTTTTTTTGTTTGTTTTTAATAGAAGTAGTTAGATCTGAAAATAGATTAAAAATCCTTAGCTAGGCATGTTTCTGATCGCTTGATGCAAACAAGTGGAATACATTTTTAAGTCAACAAAGAGATCCCTTTTAATCTCGAAGCCCTTTAGCTCATGACCAGCTTGTATATTACCACTACCCTTCGTCATACCATTTCTCTGAATGTCCTTGTCATTTGGTCATTTGGCGCTCTATAGAACTGCGTTCTCTGTGGAGGCAGTGATGCAATGACCTAACTCAGAGAAGAGGTAGCTGTGCAAGAGTAATGTGGCAGGAACCCTTTACTTTTTAATACACTTTTGGCAGAATTGCTTTTTCATGCTCTGAGAGGATGCAAGGCTGGAGAGACCACATTCCAGTTTGAAATAAGTCAAAACAGTGACTGGAATTCAGGAAGTGAGACTGGGCAAAACACATTCTCAGTGCTTGATCTGTTGGGATGCAGTCAGAAAAATTAGATCCATGGATGCAAAGCAGAATACCTTCTCTTCCAAGTGTTGCAATGACGGGATGTTGCATGAATGTTTAAACTGTGTGTCTGAACTTAATTGACCTGCTTGCACTTCTGTGAAGAATGATAGCACAACAAGCTATATCATCGTGAATCATCATGAGTAAAGTTCAGCTGTGTATTTCTCGTTGTAAATAACTGCAGTACTCGAGTGCTGTACAGATTTGTGCTGAATATCAAAGTATAACAGAGACTAAAACCATACTAAAAGTCTAGGAGTATTGCATCAGGAAATGCGAGCTGAGAAGGGGGGGAGGTGTTTAAGAACACCAATTTATAAAGACTGTATTCTAGAGAAAGGGCTTAATTATTTCAGTTTACTTTTTCTGCCTCTATTTGCTTGACTTAGTACAATGGAAAGGTGACACGTATAGCTTGCTTAAACTTCAGTAATGTGAAAAATTGACTGGCAATTTTTTTATAACTGTGTCTCAAATACAAGGCTTACAAATGTGGTAAGTTTGACAGATCTTTTCTCCACTATTAGTAACTTAATTTGCGTGTCATGACTACATCCCTATCTTGCTCCTTTCAGACTCCTTCCTCTCTTGTTCCTCTGATGTACTTTCTTGCATGCAAATTCAGCCTTAATTTAACATACTAATTCAAACATTTCATTGTTCTTGGAATGTTTGACCTTCTGAAATCCATGGGTCTTCTAAAATGAGGAAGGGGGGAGTTAATCTTGACTAACAAGTTCCTGGCAAGGCCAACATTTGTTTTGGCTTCTGTGTGCGTTAAAGCCTGACTTCTTAAAAAGTACATCTGTACTCTACAGTGGTGCTGGAGGCCAGATCTTGTTAAAACCATGCTGTTGAGGCATGTTTTAGTTAAATGCAACTTCACATACTGTGTTATGGCTGTGCAGTTTAAGGAGGACCGTAGCATTTTAAAACCAATTTAGGGTTTAATTAAGGTATAATATCAAAGGACTATAGTGTTTCCAGATAATATCTGCTTGTTAGGTAGATAACTGAAGCAAAGCCAAGGATTTTAACAGCTCTACAGGAATCCTTGATTAAATGACTTCAGTTCTAGAACACAAAATACCCGAGGCATGTGTCACCGAAGCGTTTAGTGTCTTGACGAGTATGACAAGCAGAGCTCTGAGAGATTGTCAGTTTTAAGCGTGCAAGCAGTAAGCTAGGTTCAGTCAGGTTTTCGTATCTGTTATTAAAAACCCGTACCCTGCTCTGATACCTTCCAGGATGGTGCTTGGCCAAAAGACCAGTTTGTATAGTAGAACCATTGCTGAAAGAGCAGCAGGATTTAACAGGCTTATTTCCTCTTCCCACTCTACCCCCAGCTGCTGCTGGCTCTGCAGGACAGTTACTACAATTTATCATCTCCTGAGAGATGAGTGTACTGAAATAGAATGACATAATCATTTCATTTTATGGGGCTTATCAGTTGCAGCATTCTAGGCACCTTGCAAGCCTAAAGCCATTAAAACCGATAAAAATCACATAAATTATTTAAACTGAACTGTGTTGCTGGGCTGCCAACCTTTTCAGATGAGACTTCATACTCAACTCCCACACACCATAGTCTGAGGTCAGCTAGGCACTCGGCTCCTCTTTCAAAGACCTCCGTATCTCAGCACTGTTTCCAACTGCAGTGATAGATCCCCCACTCCGAATATCTCACGTTGCTTGTTCACATCATGCTTTCCCTGCTAGATTGTGAACTCCACAAATAAGGACTTGACTAGAAAACCAGTCCCTGCCATGTCTTCACTGAAGTATCCACAGGGATTAAATTAGCAGGCAAGCTGTTGCAAGGGATGCTCTTTGGGGTAACCTAAGGTCAGATCAGCATCCACTGTTCTTGTCTCAGTTGGTTCCAGGCTTCTTGGTGGTTCGGGCTTTCCTTAGCCGTTTCCGTCGACCTCAACCAAGCAGAAGGTATTCTTGAAGTCATTGGCTTAGTTATGTCACATTACTGGGGCAGAAGTAAAAGAAAATTCTGCTAAACTGATTTTTCACGAGTCTCAGAAGCACTTTTCTTTTTGTCTGCCCCAGTACTTGTTATCTTTGGCAGAGATGGCTGTGCTTGCATGCAGTAACTGTTTTCTGTATCTCTACAGATTGCCAGGTCACGCTGTCAGTCCCAGTATCTGCAGTCTAAACATTGATCTCCACAAATAAATCATATGTTCACAATCCTTTCCACCTTTGCACAAGGCTGAGAGAAGGGTTGGTGCAGGAAGGGAAATAAATCCGTTTGGAAAATAGTACTAGCTCTTCAATTATAGTTCAAACTATTAGTTCCTCCTCAGACTGCTAACAGGCTTAAAAAAGAATGAATCCCTGAAAGAAAATGTTTCCAGCACTTTGTGTTAATAACATGTATTTTGATGTCGCAAGGCTCAGGAGCTACATGTAGGGAGGCAGAAAGAAATGGGGGGGAACGCACCTAGTTCTGAGCTCATCTTTGGTCTCTAGCATTGGTAAAATATATGTGCGTGTTGGTTACGTTGATTTTTTTTGCAGCTGTTACACTGTGACTTTGAGAGTCTTTCTGCGTAAAGAAGACCTAGAGATTATTCAAATAGAAATATAAATTGTCCTGCTGGTCTCTAAATGGACCAGTTAAGCCTTGTCTGAAAACTGTGGTGTTCTTCAGCATCCATTGCTGGCTGCATTATGTGTATCTTGGTATTCCTTTGACTGTTCAACAATTGCACAGCTGTTTTAATAAGCATGTTTCATCCAGTCTTACACAAACAGACACAAAGCTTTTCCTGGTGCACTGTCAGTAATTCTTTCTTCTGTTTAATCCCAGGGACAGAGGCGTGGCCCCCGGGGGTTTGTCTGAAGTATGTCGGGGGAGACCAGTTTGGCCACGTAAACATGGTGATGGTCAGGTCCCTGGAGCCCCAGGAGATCGCAGACGTCAGTGTTCAGATGTGCAGCCCCAGCACAGCAGGATTTTTCAGGAATGTATCAGGGACAGTGGCGAATGTGCACTGCCACGGGACTCTATTACGGAGGTGAGTGATGCCTCTTCTGGCACTTCAGGCTCCTCTGCGTGATATTCCCACTGCAGACAAAATGGGCGCTCCTGGCCCCTTGCAGACGCTCTCCTGATAACCAAACGGTGAAGGTAGAGGTCTGCCAGCTCTGAGACTAAATATAGAAAATAGAATGGAGAAAACATCAAGTGAGCTGCTTTGTTGTCTTGGTCAGCACAGAACTGTTTTCTAAACACTGGGACAAATTGCAGATTACAGAAAGCTCTGAAAAACAAAGGGACTTGCACAGTTCTCCTGGAGCCTTTCCGAGGCGTTTTTTTTGTCCTTGTTGGGATTCTTTCCCAATTTTCCGGCGCTGAACATCATGAACTACATATGGCCATAAAAGTGGTGAAAACCTCATTTGAGAAGTTCAGTTAAGACCCAGGTTTTAATAGTGTAACTTGGTGCATCCACTGTGAACCATTTTTCTGTGTTTAAAAACCACTTTTTGATATTTTGCCTGGTGCCTGAGCCTGAGCCACCAACATCTTCATTCATTTGGAGTCTTTCAGTCATTTTTAGCCAGCTTTAGTTTATACTGAGAACATCTTTGTGTCTGTTTTGGCAGTTGGGAGTATCCCAAGTTACACGGGTTTGAGTGAGAGATGTTAGCACTTGGAGTCAAAAATAACTCTTTGCTCAGAATTACAGGCTTTTTGGCAGAATTGTCAGTAAATGTACGGCTCTTCGGCGTCAAAAGTGGATGTAACTTGTCCTTGAAGAAAGGGCATGAATTCCTCCGCGCAGGTTGAAAGGCCTGTTCGGCTTGCATTGCCTGCCACAGGCCTGTGTGTTTATAAAGCCGAGGCTTTCCCAGCTGCTGACAGTTTAAGATCTTACTGAACTTCACCTGAAGTTGCACACTTTGAAAGAAAACGATCTACAAATTAAAATCCCTTTGGCTACTGAGCTTTGAGTCACAGATGCCCTTCCCCTGCCATACAATTAATGGGTTTTATGCTAGTTATCCCCCAGAGGTTAGGCCCAACAGTTGTGTGAGGGCCTGGCAAGCGGCCGGGGCTGTCGCCCGGTGGTTTTTCACCCCGGCACGGCTCGGGTACCGCCGGGGGCGAGGGGCCGGGGGCGAGGGGCCGGGCCG